CCAAAGGCATGGCGGACGATCCGCCAGCTTAGCTAGCGCTGAGTAAGTCTAAACACCACGGCAAATCAAATGTTTGCCAAGACATCCAAGATCCGAAGCGGTTCGGAGTCGAACAGCCAGAAGCGACGCAAGCCGACCATGCTGCTCACTGCTTGTCCGACATATTTATGCTACCGACAATCACCATTATATCAATGATGGACAACCTTTTTGCTCGAGTTTAGCACATCCGACCATCTCAGCTAAAGTATCCAAAAATCCACCTTCGGCATGTTCAGTTTCTGTCCACCCCTTGCCTTCTTAAGACGAGGTGAAGTCCCGCGGCATCGCACAGCAGAACAGAATCCTGTCGTCCTTCAAGACACCCACCAAAGACAGTTTTCGATTAGCTTCAGAACGCCTAGCCCATCGGATGCTACATTCTCGACACAGATCTTTCCTCAGAAAGATTCTCAGCACGATTTCGAGTCAAGTTTCTACAGACCACCGCCGCATTATCACCTCCTTCAAGATGAACACTTCCGTGTCGACTCTGGGGAGGGTACGTGGTATCTTTGGGGTGGAAAGACCGTTCAATTGAAGAAGGGTGACCGGATTGTCGTGCCCGCTCGGAGATGGCACACATTCGACGTTGCTCCCGACTCGAAAGAACCACTAGCGGTATCATACTACTACGACAAGGAGTATGTGGAGATGGAAGAACGCTTCTTTAGGAATGTTTTGTCATACTTTGCAGACTGTCGGAGAGCTGGTGTGTCACCATCCATTTTCCAGATTATGGTTTTCTCGATGCACAACTGGATGCCCATCGCATTGCCAGTGCCAGGTCCGGAGTGCGTCAACCTTCTTTTGAACATGATTTTGATGGTCTCGATTGGGTGTGTTGGACAGTTTCTGCTTGGGTACAAAGCTTCATATCCTGAGTATGAAGATAAAGAGCAGAAGAGAGGAAAGCATGATTGACGACTCAAACACATATGAGGGATGGCACCAGGTGCACATACATCAGTAAGGACATATTCCCAAGCCTTGCAACCCATTGATCTCTAGTATAACATAAGATTGATTCAACAAATTTCGGGATGACCAAATTCCTTGTTCTTTCAACCTGAGAAAGGAAGCTTGCCGAGGGTTTCCGAAAGCATCTATTCGACGAACAACTCTTGGTGGTCTAATAGCTGTAGGTCTTCAGACTCTGCAGCCATGTTGGATCAACGAGGCCATTGTATGAGCCGTTGTTGTGCTACATGTCTACTCTGACCTCTATGTCCTTGAGGTCGCTATCATGTGTCAATCGAGTGTATCGAGCTTGATGGGATGCTTAAGTTAAATGCATTAAGATGCGATGTGATAAGTAGTTCAGCTAACGTTAATCCTTCTTCGCGCTCGCTGCGCCCTCTTTCTCCATACCCTCACATCCAAAAGCTTTGCCTGCTGTCTCTTCAATCTTGCCGTAACCTTGTGTTGAAGGATCGCGCGCCTCAGCTGCTGCCTTCATGGAGGAAGCCGCATGTGCCTTGTCCTGCTCACCCGATGAAGTCCAAGCGTGGCTTCCGGTGACACTACCGATTGCGCTCTTCTCACCGTCAGTCTAAGGAGGTCCCATAACATATGGCAAAGGGTTGGGCCATTTACCTCTGCAGCGCCCTTGATGTATTCAGCGTGGCCAGCGATGAGGCCGGGCTGCTGGTTGGTGTTCTGGTCAGACATGATTCGCAGATGTTTTGTAAAGTTGCTCGTAAATGTGTTGTTTGTGTTAATTCGTGATCATTTTATTGAACCAAGGGAAGAGCGATTGCTACGCTTGAAGTAAGGCATGGCAAGGCCCAGGTACGTGGTGACCAACAGGTCACACGCTGTTTGGGTAACAGGGTTCCATGACGTCAGGGTTCCAACGTCATCGATATCTCACCACCACGGCGTCATGCGATGCCCCTGATGAACCCTGGGGGCAGCTGTTTTGAATTTGAGACTACAAAGGAACCTTTTTCGATTGGGGGGGTTTGATCCAGTACGGATTTAATCTGCCCCATCCAGTCATCGTACCTAAACTGAAGATTTGTTGGCGATTAAGGTTATAAAGAGGGTCTAAAGCAAGCCAACCCATGTATGAAGTAAAAGCCCACATTCAAAGGAATACGAAGGGATCTTTGAGCAGCTGCCGAGGGAAGGGCAGCATAGTGAATACTTAAGCAATGCCTGGCCATTATTATGTGCCTCCATTGGGCAAATATGCTGCCGTGTCGTGAAAACTACCTCTAGCACAATGGACTTCTCCTCAACTTGAAGAGTTTCCAAGCTGGATCCTGCAGTGCGCAAAAAGAAATAAGGAATTCAAACAGCCTGCAAGTGTTCTTCCCATCGACTATCTTGTGGACAGATGTCCCATGGTTCAGACAGTGTTGCATCACCGTCCTGCCCGTCCCTGAGAGCGGCAAGCGGGGTAGTAGCTCCGTTAGAGCGATACACCATCAGTTCTGGCCCCCGCTTCTGGCCAATCGCAGCCAGCATCTCAAGAATAGCAATAATAAGCAATTAAGCAATCAGAACTCCTGTTGCCGATCAGGCAAGGTTCTGTTCTGTGACCCAGGAGGCCTTGCATCGCAAATGTCGAGTCCTCATATGATGCATTTAATCTGTCGTTATCCACCCGGTAAGACTCCTGAACGATGCCGGATCTGACCAATTACCTTCGCTTGGACTTCTGGAAGTCTCCTTTTGT